GTTGGGAAATCACGGCAGTGCCCCCCTTATATGGTCAGGGGAGGGGCTCAGGCCATGAGATGCAAAGAGCGCCCCTACATGTACTGCTTGGCGAAGTTCTCTGGCTCAGAGTGCGTTGGGCGGGCACGCACCTACCTGGAATACACCTTTGCCTCACGTCTCGAAGGATAACAGTTCCAGTAAATAACAGTGTTTTACTGATGTCTATAAACCGGATCCCTGAACAGCTAGCCTGCATCTCATGGCTCTAACCTGGAAAAAGTCTTCCTCTTTAGTCATTTGCCATCTCAGTGGCTAGTTAGCAGAATTGTTACACAGTTGTTTTAAGGCCAAGAAAAATGTACAGGGTTTGGTTAATTTTGGATGGAGTAAGATTATATGACAGCCACCCTTTTCTGATATGTGAGCCCCCTGATAGAGCACTGGGGAAAGCAGGGAAGGATGTGTGCCCCCTTGACATTTTCAGAGGTCAAATATGAAGTTGTCTGTCTCGCTGCCAGGATAGAGCAAACTACGAACCAGTGTTTGTTTCCAAAGGAATACCCACGAGAGATTAAAATTGCCCTTTAGGGTAACTGTTTAGCCATCCGGCCATACTTTTGTTTTGTTTTGTTTTATGAGGAAAGTCTCTTCCCTCTTGTTTGGTTTGTCTATATTCAGAATGCTCCCTGAACTACACATGAAACTAACCAAACTGAGATAGGTTGCATCATAAAGATGGTTGTAACCATGTCAAGAAAATTTCTTTTAACTCCCACAACGTGCACAGAGACGTGCTGCTTCCAGTAGGATGGCAGAACTGTGCAGAAAGGAAAGTTGGCAGAGCTACTACAGAACATAAGTATTAGTCATGGAGTGCTACTGAAAACTCAGGATAAGTCCTGCTTTGGCATCCTCTCCCAAATGGCTCTTCAGTTGGTTGCCTGATGCACAGTATCATTATGTGTTGGGGGAAGAAATACAAACCTATGTTAACATCTTATTTATTCATATGTGCCATGCGCAAAATAGAAGTTAAGGTTAGTGTTTGTTAAGGGGGATGGGTGTGGGTTCACAAACACCTCTCTGTGGCTTGAAAATAACTTTTCCCAACAACCTTTGTCTCTTGCTGTTCATCAGTGACTGTCATAAATTACCCTGAAATTTAATTGTCTCAGCCAATTAGAATGTAGAGATTTTGTACAGTTATTGGGTCACAATTCTATACGTAGTCCCTGCACTCCCCTTGCCAGCTTGCACAATACCTTTTGGTTATTTCTCAATAACCGGATAGCTTGAAAATCCCATTAGCCTGGCTCAGAGCCATTATTAGCCCATCAGAGTGCAGGTATTTTTATACTCACTGTGGTTATTTCTCAATAACTGCAGTTATTGTACAAATTGTTCTACTCTGGCTAGTGCAATATAAATCTCTTCTGTTATTGGCTACTGCCCCTCAAATGCCCAGTATATGGACTAGATTGTGCTTTCTGTTACACTGATGTAAATCTGAAGTAACTCCATCACCTTCCACCATAGACATGGCTGCCTCAGCTTCTGATCTTTACCCACCAGACCTCATCCACTCCTCCTTCCCCCGGGCAAAAGCTTAGTGCACCACACACATTTAAGAGTAACTCCTTTGTACATTACATTTAAGCAAAGATTTTCACATTTTGAACAATTTTCTAATGTTTCATTATTAAACCGTATTCCCAAACAACTTAACCTAGAAACATTAAAATTAGTCTTATTCGCTATTCTTGAATGAAATCTAGTGCATGGGTCTATTTTATAAGGTGTGGATACAACATTTTGGAGTTATTCATCTTTGAAGTTTGAACCTCTAATAGTAATACCTAGCTCATATATAGTGCTTTTCCTCTTGATCCCAGAGCGCTTTACAAAGGAGATCAGTACCATCCCCATTTTACAGGTGGTGAAACTGACTTTCTATGATGTTGAATGGCAATGGAGAGGTTTTACAATTCATGAGGCTCATTCCATTCTCACATGCCTCTTCAGGTATGCTAGTGCCTACCGCTGGAGTCAGGGTCCAGAGCATTTTACCACCATGGGAAAGCTTGCTGAGGGTATTTTGTAACCCCATATCTAATTTTTGACCCTCATTCGTATGCCCCAGCAGATGAACAGATTAAGTTTACATGTGGTAGTTCAGAGGCAAATCCAAGTGAACATCTAGCCCACACTATGAATTTTAGCAAAATCAAAAAGGGTCAAATCTTCAGCTGGTATAAACTGACATAACGCCCTTTGAGGTCAGTAGAGCTACGTTGATTTATACCTGCTGAGAATTTTGTCCAGTGTGTTAAACATATGCATAATGCAGCTGCTGTGAGCATTTCTTGTAACTTCAGTTTGCTAGCCCTAAGTGACATGGGAGTGGAGAGGGTGGGGGCTCCCCCATTTTAATTCATTCTATAAATGTTGTCCTCCCAACAGCTCTGAAAAGTCCAGCTGCATTTCATGAACAGAGAAGGAGCTTGGAGCGTGCCAGGGTAAGAGAGTTTACTCTTTCAAGTTTAAGGGAAATTGGGAGTGGGAGGGCATTTTCTGTTTATTACCCTGGAAACCCCATGTCTCTAAATGAGACCGCAAAGGATACATCCACATTCTGGAAGCACTATATCGCACATGCACCCACATCTATGCATTTTTGTATGTGGTGGTGACTTCTCCCCCATTCTGCCTGATCCGGACTAGATTACTCCTGAGAGGATTCTGCGCCAAAAAATAAAAAATTCTGCACACAATATTTTAAAATTCTACAAACTTTATTTGTCAATAAATAAATGTGGAGGCTCCAGCATGGCAGTGGGGAGCACAGGCTGCATGGAGGTGGGAGATCACTCTGCAGGTGCTCCCCCCACTCCGGAACACGGACTTGGCGGTGAGGCTTCACCCAACCCTGACACAGCGCAAGAACCAGGTCTACCCTGGCTGTGCCTTGCAGGATCTAAGTGTGGAGGGGCTTAGTGTGGGTGGTTCCAGGTGTGAGGTGAGAGGATTCTGTGTGGGGCAAACTGGCAGCAGGCGGCTTAGTGGGGGGCCGGGTGCAGAGGGATCTGGATGCACAGGGATTCATTGGGGGGTTCTGGGTGCAGTGGTAATGGAACTCTGCAGGGAGGTCCAGGTGAAGGTCCTTGGGGCTCAGCAGGGGGTCTGGGTGTGGAGGGATGGGGCTCAGCAGGGGGCTGGGTGCAGCTGGTTGGGGCTCAGTGGGGTGGAGGTCCAGGAGTGTGAGGGCTCATCAGGGTGGTCCTGGTGCAGGGGGTTGGGGCTCATCGGGGTGGGGGGTTGAGTGCAGGGGACTCAGCAAGGGGTGGTCTGGGTGAAGAGGTGGGGATCCAGGTGCTAGGGGGTGGGGCTTGGCAGGGGGTCTGGGTGCAGGGGGCTCCAGACGCAAGGGGTGAGGTGTGGGGGAGGGGGTTTTCAGGTGTGGGGGGCTCAGTGTGGGGGGTTCTGGATGCGGGGGGATGAGGCTTGGTTGGGGGGTTCAGATGCACAGGGGTTGGGTGGACAGGGGAGCAGCTGCCCACAAGTGACCCCACCCCCTGCAGCTGAGGAGCAATGGGGGCAGGAAACAGGGATGGGAGGCGTGGAGCTTCCTGCAGCCAGGGGAGGTTTCTGGGGGTGGGTCTGCCCCAGCACCATCTTGCAGGGGAAGAGCAAATCCCATTTCAGCCCAGCCCAGCCGGGACTAGTAGCTGAGTCCGGCGCAGGGTAGGAGCCACCAGCTGGGCCGTCCCCACTGTGCCCTCCGCCCCGTCCCCTCCGCTGTGATTTACCTCTCCCCCAGCTGCCCAAAGTGACGTGCTCGTGCTGCTGGGCAGGGATGCGTGATCACTTTTGCGGCTTCCCTTTGCTTCCCCATCAGAAAGTCTGCTTCCCCACAGAAAAATGACTTTCTGACAGGAAAGCAAAGAAATCTGGGGGGGACATGAATTGTGCACATGTGCAGTGATGCAGAATTTCCCCAGGAGTAAATGCCAGTTGAGGACAATGCTTCAGGTTTCCCCATTCTCTTCTTTCTGGAGATCACCATTATTCATAACCCCATGCACACCTGATGCAGCTATTTTTGTGACATTTTTCTACCCTTGGATGGCAATAGTCTAAGTATGTTTTGCTTCCTTTGAGACAAAGGATGTTACTTCTGTGCAACGTGCGCATTTTTGTTAGTCTGGAGTGCTCCCAAACCCTGGGCGATCTTCCCTTTAAAACCAGCAGCTTGATGGAGGAGATCCCAAATAGTCTTGGTTAGAGACTAAAAATCACAAACCTGTGGCTCTTGAGAAAGAGGAAGCCAAGAATGAGAGAGAGGCACCACACTTCATGTTGTAGCTGCTTGTACAGTGGGGTTTCTTGATGATTTCAGTTCCCCAAAAGGCCTCTGGGGAATGTTCTTCAGAGCAGCCTACAGGGGAATGGCGCCTACTCTGACAGTTGGGCTGAGTTTTATTTCAAAAGTGAAAGCAATGCAAAATTAGAGAAATGACATCTCTGATGGAACATCCCAGACAACACCACCACTACAAACTTTCTGAAAAGACTGAAACAAGTACCACTATCTTAGATTTGGTTTGCTTGGAGAGCAGCATCCCCCTGGCTGTAGATTCTTCTAAAAATTAATTGTTAAATTACTTTTTGGGTCTTGGCAGTGGGTGAGTGCATTTTTATGTTTGAAAAAAAAATCGTTATAAGGCCTCCAACGGGTCCATTCCTGTGGTCAGCACTTATCGTTTTCCTACCCACTGACCCCAGTCTCTCTTTCCTGGGCTGTCTGGGAGTGCTGAGTCGGAAGCATGCTGCGCTTGTAGTGGAGCTTGCCACAGAAGTTAGGTCCAGCTGGTCAGAGAACTAGACGGAGTCTTCAGTTTAACTGCTCCATTTGTTGTCAGTTCAGCTGTGGGCCCAAATCATGACCCAGCTTCCAACATTACTTTTGTGTGCATTATTCTGCAAACAATTGACCCAGTGCTCAGCATCATAAACAGAAACCTATTGTCTTGAGTCTCTCACCTTGAAGGCTGACAGTGACTTGGTGTGGCAGTGCTGTGTATGGAAAGAGGGGTTTGGGTCTTCGAAGTTCCTGCTTCCCGCCATTCTGTTGAGGACTGGCAGCAGCTGCATCCTTACTCTTCTTACTTTCAGGGATGGGAAGAAGAGCAGCAGGCAGTCCCTTAGAATAACTGATCCTGTGTTTGAGGCTCTAAATACTATAAGATCTTGATGGGAATATATCCCCTTCTATGTGCAGTTCATTCACATCAGTAACAACAAAAGATGGATTTTGAAAAGCCAAATACCCAGTGCTTCCTAGGCTATGTCTGATCACTTGATTTCGCTGCATTCTTGTCTGTCTTTGCTGCAGACAGAGGACTATCTGAAACGGAAGATCCGGTCCCGGCCAGAGAGATCGGAGCTGGTCAGAATGCACATTCTGGAAGGTACGGTACATGTTGAAGGGACTGTGACGAACTGGGACTGTTCTTGCTGGGGTGTGTGAATGCTGACAGGCGAGTGTGGCTAGGATGGTCTGCATCGGGGGAGGGGAGTCTGCCT